GAGTTCAGTACTCATTTTCACAGTGAGTTGGTGCTACGTGGGACTCAAATTGATTTCACATTTATGATATTTAACCCAGTACGTTGTACACATCTGTCTGATGGTTCGGCTGGACAGATTTTTAGGATTTCCCTTTGACATGGTATACCAGTCGTGCGCTTGGGGCCTACGTTAACCATATACCAATTTTCGAAGTGATTCAGGAGAGCCGCAACGACATCAGAAAGCCTTCAAAAACCGAACGAACGGGTGCTGTTTACTGGAGACTAGTTAGCCTATCCAGATGGAGGGAAGGCAATAAAGTACGGACAGGTGAAATTGTGAATTGGGTGTTCTGCTTCCAGGACATATCATGGCACAGTTCCATACTGCAGCTCCATAGAGTTGGAATGAAGGGGCGGACACGTACGACGTGGTCTGATCTTCTACTGAGCGGCAGGTTTGTTCAAACCCCAGTGGGGACACCCCCGGATGGAAAAGTACACACTACACATCCTACATACTATAGCAATCGCTACGCGGGTGGGAGTTCCGCTCATATTCAAACAGTTCGTCGATTACCAGCTTGATAAGTAGAGCCAACGGCTGATCCGGTAGCCTTCTCGTTAAATTGATATTGTTGCTACTCACTGCTCAGGTGGAGTTCAGCTGGCCCATAAAATTCGGAGGTTGTGACGGGTTGACGTGATCTTTACAGTTCGAGATGGCGTGCCTTTGCAATTGCATATCAGGTTGTACCAGCTGTTTGGTAGCTTTGGAAGTACTTCTGATCGATTGAGTAAACACTGTCTGCTTATTGGAGGAACGGAATGACCGGACCGTCAACTATCAACAAGTTTAACTAGACCTGTTATCAAAATTCTCAAAGGAACTTGACGGAAAAGAAGTCAAGTAATGGCTTTTATGCTGTAGAGTATAATCCAGCAGTAGATGCAATGAAGCATTATGAATACCTTTGGGAGCAAGTGTCCTTAGGTATTCTCAAGGCCACTACAGCCACAGAAAGTTGACAGCTATCAAAGGAAAAGTGGGGCTTACAGTTGCTCGTAGACCGAGCGACATGAAGTGACTGGTTCGAACCAAGAAGAAAAAGTCGTATCGGTGAACGGCTAGAATGAGCAGCAACAGTAAAGATAGTAGCGGCATAGTTATCACGGCGGGGCCTCAGGGAAATTTTGTGGAGGGTGAGGGAGTACAGCCCGATCTCAACCGGCCACGTGATTATCAGACTCCTTTTTATTCTCTACAGATGTTCAATGGGCGCGGCTTACCTAAAATTGAAGTGGAACTCAAAGAGACACTGCAGTTACCAATTGTCACTACGGAGGCTGATGCGCTTATCATTGACACAGCGGAGGGGTCGAATAAGACCATGTTATGTCAGTGTGCATACAGCAGATTGGAAGTCTGCTGTCAGTGGGGAGAATTCAATTCGTCAGTATCCTGGCAGGTGAGACCAAGGCAGCCCACGCAATGCCATCAGCAGATGGAACAAACGAAACTGCCATTAGAGTTCACACTGACATCAGAATTAAAGCGGCCCTTTCATTTCCGTCCGGTATAATTAAACAGGCACACTGCTCGCATACATCAGTGGAACAGCGATCTCACAACGGTGAAAGGGCGTCTCACAATGATTTGGATGATGGTAGAATGGCTTGATTATCTTTTTTTGCCACAAAATTCGCCGTCCTCTTCGTGATTGACGACAGCCAAAAACTAGCTGGATGGGCATAATGATCTTGAGAATTTAACCTTACGGTTCAAAATGTCAGTGACCGAGACACGCTCTCTCGATCCACTCAGGGAACAGGCGAGCTTCCGAGCAGAGCAATTACTTGTAACTTCGACTGCGACACTTAGGTCAAGTGTGACAAAACAGCGGCTAACTGGTTCGGTGTCCCAAGAAGCTTTGACGCATGTAAGGACCGATTTGGAGTTCAAGGAGACGTCACCTGAGCTGCGTGAACCTTCTAGGGTGTGGGTACAATCTATGGAGAAAATGTAACGCCAACGGCCCTAGTGAAATTACAGAACGGGTTTGAGGCCGGAAAAATACCTCAGGTGTCAATGGAAGATTGACGCTATCCAATCCAGATGACGCACGACGAAGTGCAAGTCGACCGTGACCGTTCCTGCTGTGGACTGAGAAAGTGTGTATTTTGGCCACAAATGTGTTGGANATCCACTCAGGGAACAGGCGAGCTTCCGAGCGGAGCAATCACTTGTAACTTCGACTGCGACAGTTAGGTCAAGTGTGACAAAACACCGGCTAATTGGTGCGGTGTTCCAAGAAGCTTTGACGCATGTAAGGGCCGACTTGGAGTTCAAGGAGACGTCACCTGAGCTGCACGAACCTTCTAGGGTGTGGGTACAATCTATGGAGAAAATGTAACGCTAACGGCCCTAGTGAAATTACAGAACGGGTTTGAGGCCGGAAAAATACCTTAGGTGTCAATGGAAGATTGACGCTACCCAATACAGATGACGCACGACGAAGTGCACGTCGACCGTGACCGTTCCTGCTGTGTACTGAGAAGGTGTGTATTTTGGCCACAAATGTGTTGGATTCAGAGTCAGTCCGTATTCCCCCTCACTCCAAAGAGTACAAGGAGTTGTGGAGCCCACTATAGCCGGCGCAATCAATCACCACTAGCCGTCTGGTTTCGGGGATGTACATGTTTGGTCCACTGTGGACGAGCCCACTTCATCGTTACTGCTGTGAACCATTCGATGCGGTAGATCGAGCAGGTTGCAACTACGGAGCAGAATCCCAGAACTACCCCATTTCTTCAAGGAAAATGTCATCTCAGGATAACCGACCAAGATCCGCCTTTTGAATTTAAAGGGCTGCAAGATGAGGGCATGTCTGTATCTTCAGGCCAACAGAGTAACAGAGCTTTAACCATACAAGAAAACCTGGGACTAGGATGAGAATCTAACACACGTAATTCCCAGTTATCAGATAACATAAAACGTACCTGGATATCGCTACTTCACCTAGTCGATGGATACGAGCCAAAGATGACGCTTGATGTGTACGTGGCAATCCGGCCCATTAATTAGTTTGAAGGGTACAGTTTCAAAGGTCATTCGGGCAAGAATAGAGTAAAAAGACGGGATACGATGCATATAGCAGCATGAAGCACTGGAGTTTTTGGTGGTTATCCAAGATCACTGCAGACCTGAATTGGCCGCCACCGTATCAGACGTATTCTGCTGGGAATCGATGGTCCTGATATAAAGGATACGAGCATGCCGGGTGCGGTGCCGCGGTGCGGTAAAACCGTAGGCACAAAATGAAAAAACGGATGCCTTCTGTTTCAGGCAAATTAAGCTGTCTGAGGGAGAAATCATTGTCGAGAGTGCACAATCAATAGGATACCGGTTCCGGTTCCACCAAGACCTATCATGATGGATTGGAGATGTCGGGGATAATGGAACAAATCTAGACCGGTTTATCGGTTATCGGTGTCACTAGTCACACTCAGCAGCTGATGCGGTTGGTACCCCCCTTGCTGCAGTATGTTCAGTTTGTTATTCCTATATGAAAAAAGATTGTTTCGAATTCAACGCACGTATCTGATGAGCCTCAAACAGGGTGAAACCGATACTTCGGCTGTGACATGATTTGTTCAATGAAAATACCTGGCCATCTACTTTCTGGGATAGTTTTTGCGGTGCATATGCAGCTAAGAAACATCTTTCATCTAGGTAGTCTTTGAGAATCGCGCAATCCAACTACAATTGTCATATCACGGGAATCTGTTCAACTTCGAGCAATCAGCATCTGAAAAACAGGTAAAACCTTAAAAGTTTCCCTTTCTAATTGAAAATCTTCACCCGTCATGTATGTACACAGCCTCCAATACTTCAATTGGAAGAACTATGAAGCGGTCGAATATTGTTTTTTCTTTCCTGTATATGTCCGAGAACTGTTTTTACAAACCATTTTCGGAAAATAAATTCGCTTACTTTTGGAAAACTTTTATTTTTCTGATGGCCGTAACGATTTTGCATCTATACTATGGTGTACGAGTCACCGTTTTTTCAACATTCGAATTTTTCATGTACTTTATCAGATGGGAGTCATCGTTAGTTGCTCTTCATGTGATAAATATATCGTCTTTTGTTCACATTCACATCACTCGTTTGAAAAGACGTCCTCCTGCCCTGGCGCATGTCAGGTGTCCGCAGTTCAAAGCCCGGCACGGCCATTGGATATGCACTGCTGATGAGCTCTAATGAAAGCGAAACTCGAATTCAATGCTTCCCTCCCCCACCCTTTGGTGTGGATTCACCAGAATAATTGAGCGTCTGTTCAAACAAGAGTGATGTGAATGTGAACAATACACATCCCGCAAACCCCACAATATTGTCTTTTCTTCGTAGTACGTGGCGCGTGGATTGAACGTTACTACCAAAATGTAGAAGCCCCTGCAGTTTTCTCTACTGAATTTCGGTACACTAGGTATTTGGAAGGCACCTGGTTTTGTGTTTCATTGCGTTTGCTTCGTTTTTTCAATAACACGGTTGTCCTTCGTGTGTTATTTTTAGTAGAATATTATGTTACAATGGGTCGGATCGAGCAATCCGGTGTGCTGTATTTTGTGGCTATCGATGGGTAGCGTGTATGTGTTATGGTCACTACGTTTACGTAGTGTACACTTTGGAATTAACTTCGGTACTTTCGACTCGGATACTAACTCCTAGAGCCTATAAAACACAAGTTGGTTGACACGATCCTCTTCCTGTTCGGATCTACTGGTTAATCCTCGAGTGTTCTCTTTGTCTGTCTGTTTCACTCCAACAATTCGCTGGTGGGCATTCACAACATTGTATGATATCCGTTTCCTATATCGTCTACAGCCACTTTGGTTTTCTTCTCTACTGGAATCCATTCGATACGCACGTCTTTACTTTTGCGATCGCTTTTTTCTGATTTGATCAAAGTTTTAGTGCTTACTTTCACTGAACTTCCAGTGTTTCCCTAATTTCAGCGTCGCGCGAGATGGCTTTGAGGTCCCAGCTCCAACCTTTGAAGCCGATTATTAGCAATGGGCCAAGCATTTTCTCCTCTGCACTACTCCCATGTGCTGTATCACCGTCCTCGCCAAAATGTGGCAACCGTCGATGGTCTAGCCGGTCGTCCTCACGTAGCCTAAGACGTAGTTATCGGCGTAACTCGTCCGATAGCTCCTTTTGTTCTTCTGACGTATTGCACCCACGTAAGGTACGGCGGTCCAGAAGAAGCCGTGCACGTTCAGGTTCCTCCTGCTACCGCTCCCGCTCTGAAACACGTTCTTACAGTGCTAGATACGTCCGAAAATGGACTGTGTCGCCAAAAGGTGCTAGATCCAAGTCCAGACGGAGGTACGTTCCATTGGAGTATACTTTAGGTTGACGGTGTATTCTTGTTACAAAATTTTCTCGTTTTTTTTACTAAGCGATGACTTGTCTCCCAAATGGAATTGTCTGTTTCACTGGCCTGACAAGCTAAGTTTTATCTGAATTCCACTTCAGTTGGCACAGTGCGCTGATTATTCTGCCGTAAGACAATAGGGCACGTTGTACCTCATAGGTGTTACTGATAGCCTACCGTGCGCATTCACTGTGACCATACACGTTGAGTTTGACTTTTTCCGGTGGGCCCTGTCGAGGCACTAGAAAGTAATTTTGTGCTACGTATCAGCTAGTACTAACGTTGGGTTTATCAGTCCATTAGATCTGTGTCATGAGCACGTCGTCAGTCGCTCGAATTCAGACATTGCACCACCGCGCTAACCGGCTTGCGATGCCGAGCTTCGTGTTCTGTGCCAGGTTAATTATATTGCCCACTGTATGTTTCTGCTTCATTTTTCTCTGGGCGTTGTGTGAACACGTGATTTAGCGTATGCTAGTCCCTGTGAAAAGCGACACGCCTTTAGCTCGTCACTTCGACGGCCGCTAACCTCGAGCCAGAAAGCAGAAGCATGTAGGGTGCGAGAACGGATATCATCGGAGCCGTTTGACCTGGAGACCAAACAAGCAGCATTTGCAGTAACTGCGATTGTGTTTGCTAGCTGGTCATCAGCGGATACGCGGTGATCCGTTGGTGGACAATTTAATTCCAACTAACTGTAGGAAAGGCCACTGAAGGCAAGCGGAACGTCGGATCACAACATCTCATTGCAATGCGCTGTTATGACTTTAGAAATTCCATATAATTCCCTTTATCGGATAACTAAGCCTGCAACAGTGCTAGAAGTGTCTTTCGACCATCATCGTACAGATCGAAACCGTCCAGTATGCTTCAACACACCGAGCAGTTCGGTGTGTCATGGTGGTAGAAGTGACTATCATATTGACAGTATCATGGGTAACTGCAGAGCGTCATATAGATGTTTTTGGGGTTCGGATTATTAGTAATGCAACCCCCAGCCTATCCGAGGCGAAACCCATCGAGTTAAATTGCTAGGCTGCTTCCATCTGTTGGCAATATGGCGTAATGTTTGCAATCCGATTGCCGAGCTCAGCGAACAGATCAACTGCCACCTGATCAACAGCTCATGTTCCTATCTGTGTCTGTGAAACCCGGCCTTAATGCCATGGATATTCCTAAGTATAAAGTCCACAATGATGTTAGGGGTGACTCTGACTGCTGTACATACCTAGTCCAATGGTGACTAACACTAACTGGCTAGATTCAGTTAGATTCTCTCAATAAGTCGATTTTTCCGACGGATTTCGCCGCGTGGTCTAACTCAAGAAATCACCTCCATTGATATCGCCCATTTGCCTAAGTGTGGTCATCAGTTGAAAAAATCGCTTGCCTGCCGTGCAGTGGTTCCAGCTGCCACATTTTCTTTCACCTACCATTTGGGGGTCTACGCACTGGAGGCTGTAGCTGGTATAATTGGTGCATAAATACCGATGTGTCGGTAAGTCTTTCATTGGATAGCTATGCATTAAAGTTTGGGTGCATAAGCGCCATTGAGGACGCGACCACGCACTGGAGGCTGTAGCTGGTATAATTGATGCATAAATACCGATGTGTCGGTAGGCCTTTCATTGGATAGCTAAGCATTAAAGTTTGGGTGCATGAGCGCCATTGAGGACGCGACATTGAGGCCGTCTGACAATGTCTGAAGCCATTGATGTATCTCGTCTAGGGGTCTCCATCCAGGGAGATGGCAATGACAAAGTCAGCTGAGTTTGTTGGTACTGGTTTGCATACTTCGCTGCCAAGTCAGTACTTGACCTCCTCTGGCCTGTTTCCACCTTTCGCGTGGTTGCGTGGAAAGAGCTCTTCGAGGAAGTGGGTGAACCAGCAAACGAAGCATTGGACCAAGCCAACGCAACCTATGGAGAGTGGTCAGTTTATCTGTCGTGAGCGAGTTATTTCTGCTGAATACCATTCGACGTATTTCAGCACTACTGATCCGGTGTTTCCACCAGACTAGCGCAATGCTCCGAAGACATTGATGGCCAAACACTAATAGCCTTTTGACGTTCTCGGCACACAGCGGCTGGGTTTCTGGCCCGTATAATAATGTGGAGCGCACCGCAGCAGTGTAAACTCGACCACTGACGTATAAAGTGATGTCACGCCTTCGCCATAGGTGATGCAGGTTCCCAATCGAAATATCATCTTTTGTGAGACGATATTCAACCGTCATTTGACCGCATCGAAGAAGTCGCACCAACAGCGCTGGACGTCGCTAGCAAAGCTTCTTTCACACTTTGGCATGATTCATCAACGTTCTTGCCACCAGTAGAGTATTGTTTTACAACAGGAAGTTGTTGGGCTAGTTCAGATCGATATTGTTGAGCTACGTGGGACCTGCACTCAGCCCCAAAGGCTGTGAGCACTTCACCGGATTAAGTTCAAGCGATTAGTCGTTTCTGCTCACTTCGATTAAGATAAGTGCCTGTGGACGCGGAAAACGCTGTTTATTTGTTGCATACGCTGTAACAGGCGGTAACCCTGGGGCTGATAATGGCATTTATCACGACTGCTTCAGTCAGCAAGAAGTACATATATTGTGATTCTAACAAGTAATATGATTGCTCAGGCTGACCCACTGAGTCAGGATGAAACCAATTTGGGTAGTGAATTCGGGTTGTTAATCATCGCGCAGATGGTGGACAGCGATCTCTTCATTTATTTGCTCAACACTTCTTTCCAGTCAGCACAAGCCCTCACACCGTGCTACCCGGGGGCCACCAACTACAAGTCAGCCGTGAATTCACTTGGTCCATATTGTGATCAACTGCCTCACTACAATTCTGTCATTCCTCCTTGAGCGCACAGCTTGACAACGATCACAGCCTCGCGTGGGCACGTCATCATCACCATCAAAGACAGCACTGATGCTTCACTGCCGTGGGCACGTGTACCTATTCGCCTTTCCCCCGGGGATACGCTGGCTGACGCAAAGCCAGTCAGGCTATCATTTCCAAAGCGTTTTTGTATCCCAACAATATCACTATTCGCCTTTCCCCCGGGGATACGCTGGTTGACGCAAGGCCAATCAGGCTATCATTTCCCAACAATATCGAGTTGAGTTGACTGAAATGCCTTCATAGATAAGCTGGCTCAGTGATGATAATTGATTGATCGGGGGTTGATTTGAAAAAGACTACAGAAGCCATGCTTGCAGCCTGTGAAATCATCTGTTCAAAGTTGTCTGAATAATCCAGTCAACGCTGTGATGATCCTTGCTACCCAACAAGGACTATGCATCTCATCCCAGTCGCGGACAGCTGCGCTGCTAATGCCAATGATGATGAGGGAAAGGTTGATCGGTTTGGGCTATCGCATGTTTCTTTCTGCATGAAAATTCTTGTGATCCCTTCGCTCCGTTGATACCTGTTTGAAGCGGGTTTGATACTTGTTATTTTAGAGTGTCCCGTGCTGCGCATTTCACTTCGTTTCCTTTTTTCTTGCCCATTTTTTACCATGGCCCTGTTGAGTGAGCTGTGGAATTCGTGGAAGGATATCATCAACTTGTGAATGTGTGCTTTTTTGTATGAGTTCTAAATCTAGACAGGATTTTTGTCTTTCTCCAACTTTGATGGCGATATATTATTTCACTTGGATTCTCAAATTTTGATTTCCATTTCACCCACAGGTCGAGTCTTTCCGATTCGGATGACGAAACTGACAAATTCAGCGAGGCGGGCTATTACGGTCCAGAGATAGATTTGTTCTCCGATGATCTCCCAGACAGTGTGGTTATCGCAGCTAACTTGATGAATTCTTCCTCCTCTTCCCTTTCCACATACTCTTCATCGAGTCAATCATCCGAATCTCCCAAACGAACCTCCAGGCGAAAACGCCATCGTCGGACACGCCGACCAAGATCACGGCGACACCGAAGACGACAACATTCCGCATCTTCCAGTGGTTCAGCTTCTTGCTTATCTACAGACTGATCCAATTAGCAAAGCTGCTGTCTTTCCTAAGCGGATGTGATATAATACCTCCTTCCGTCACATCACCGTGTGTATAGGCATAACATTCCTTTTAACTTTTTTCTTCATACTAACGTGCTTTCAATGTTTTTTTTAACACAATCATCTGTGATAACATAAAAATTTCTGTAATAGTTGTTTTTCACTTCTGCCTGCCTGCAACAATCGATTTCTCATTACTGCATGGTTTGGGATGGTTTCGTCCGCATGCCACTCTGCCTAATTCTGCTACTCTTGATGGTCTGCATTGATTGAATATTCAATTTGTCCTTAAACTACAGCGACTGATGTTTGTTTTAAAAAAACTACTGAATTTTGGAAAGCCAAAAATGTAACGAACTAGTAACTTGGAATAAGTGACTGTGTGATTGTCTAATATATTTATAAACTGATAACTGGTTTTGCCCCGGCAGGCAGATTTTGCGGCGTTCGTCTCCTTGGATCCTAATGTACCGAACCATGTTTTCTAACTGGTTTTGCCCCGGCAGGCAGATTTTGAGGCGTTCGTCTCCTTGGATCCTAATGTCGTACCGAACCATGTTTTCCAGGAAATAGTCATGCCTGTTTTTCATATGTCGTCATTTGTTTCCAAATTGCTTGTTATACTGATTACTAAATACGGCTCACCGCTTACCCGATTAGGTTGGGTTCTGCACAAGTGCCATAAGCGTACTATGATACACAGTCTCGGCTAGTGGGCCTGTGAATCTGAGTGAATCAATACACCGCGTAACAGCCAAGGTAGCATTTTCGGCACTTCGGTACGGCGCACCTCTACATTACTGATCATTTTTCTAATTAAAAATATCCTTCCTCCGCTGTTGCCTTTTCCAGTCGGTTCCCTTTTTATCACTGCCATACATGACAGCTCCGGCGTTTGTTTTCAATTAGTCTGAGTTTGTAGATAACTTCGCGTTCTGATGACGATTTCATCCTGTAAGTGGGGTTAGTCTATGCCGAGCATAGACGGAATCTCCTCAAACTACCAGCACCTCATTTTTTCAATGGATAGCGGAGTAAGGCATGTTTGGGCTCCGAAGAAATGAAGAAAATCATTCACTGCTTAAGTAGGACATGGTGTTTTGGAGACCGAGAACTGTAGGGCAAGTGACGTCCAGCTGTTTCAAGCGTATAAAACTCAACCTGTGATAGGAGAACATGAAGCCTGAGAATCTGTCACTGATAAGGTGTTTGTTTATCAATGTTACGGTGCCAAGTTAGTTGGCAAAGTAGGAAATGTCTAGTGAAATTCAACAATATTCGTTTATAGTGACAGCCACTGATTTGCAAATTAGATTGGTATTAAGGAAACTCTCAGTTGATTTCTCCTCATTTATCATACGCTTTGACTGAATATACTACGCGAAAGCCTCATGTTTCAGTTGACGCGATGTTCAAGATGTCGCAGTATTTTCACTTTGCAGAACACGAGATATAAGCTAGAAGGACCATTGAAAAATTTTTAGAACCGTGTGTTCTACCAAGAAAATAGTGTTTAAAACTACAATGCCAGTTCCTTCAACCCGTACCAGAATCGCGATCTGCGTAAAGATCACGATTAGGGTACGTCAAAAGTAATCATTGTCTGGACTGGTCTTTGCGTGAACGAAACAGAACTGCGGCCCTTTTTTGTTTTATCTTGAGTACTGCCGTGTCATCGATGGTTCAGTTGCTCATTTCATCACAATTCCAGAACCATCTTATGGTTACGCTCTTCTGGAGAGCTTACGAATGACTCTAACCCCTTTGGAAAAATCAATTTATTCCAGAGGTACTTTATGGAAGAGGCGGATAAGTTCTCCACGTATGCATTCAGCGAAGACAGTTTCCATAAGCCCACACACTTGAGTCAATGCAGCCGAAATCGTAGGAACTCGGTCGGGGACGTGAAAGAACAGTGACTGCTCACCAACAGAGGGGTATAAATAGCCTTTCCCCTGATTCCAGTGTCTCTCCCCTAGGTTCCGATGTGATTTTGCCTGCTGCTCTTTGAGATTCTCTCTACGAGTTGGCATGGCCCTATGTGATCCATGTTTTTCGTTCGCCCAAGTGAACTTCACTATATTTTCCAGAGAGACGGAAGCTTGATTTCAGTTGCAAGCTATCAGATAACTTTCCCATCACTAGCTAACGAGTGACAGCTGGTTTTTTATTTTGTAAGACGTTCAGCGTCAACGTGAAGTATCCGTTAACAAGGACAGCTGATGACTCTTAGGATTTACGCATGGATGGTCATGTGTCCATGATCCTTTAGACAGACAGCGCGCGTGTCGAGTCGTTGGATCACAGAAACCGTACTTTCGCGAACCCACTTCCTCATGTGGTCTCGTGGTTTGCCCGTGTACGATTTAAATAAAAAATGAGCGATTCAGTTGAGTCTCTCGTGAACACCAAATAGATGTGCAAACGAGTGTGTTTGTCGCATAGCTGATACATTTGTAATCCAACTGTCCGTCATCCTTGCAGTTCACATTTGCTTTTATCTAGTCCGCTGTCAAAATCCCCAAATCTTTTGAAGTTGTACCTGCATGCATGCAAGACAATCGACCACAGTGACAAATGTGTATTTCCATATGGGCCTTCTTACTATCAATACCGCCTGGGCGTCAGCTAAACCAGCATAAGCTGCATTTTGCTATTCGACAAATACGCCCATTTGTAGACCAATTTAGTCTTCACGAGATTCAGCTGAAATCCAGGTGAATCTCGTGTTTATGACGTTCTCCAATTGAATGTGCTGCACAAAGGCTGCCTCATGTTTCCTTTCGTATGATATTCGAAATATCGCAGTATATTTACGTGAAGGAAACTACTCACAAAGCTATCGAACAGTTTTCAGCGGTTTTGTGAGTGGTTTCCTTCATGCATTCGTATAATTATTTACAACAGGAATGGCAGAAGAGACACTGGGATCCACCACGTCATCCAAACCAATCGATTTGGTGTCGATAGATATTGGATACATGTAAGGTAACTCGATTGCTTGGCAACACATGCCCTACATAGCACACAGTGGGCGCTATGGAGTTACGAGAACATATAAAAAGGAGTGTGCGTATGAAACAGTTACCAGTGAAGTAGACTGAACTTACTAGGACTCGCTTTTGGAGATCTTTACAGGAGAAAATCTCCATAAGGTGTTCCGTCTAAATCAACTGATATGTACGGGAGGCGTTTATGTCGAGGGATTTATACAACTAGTTCGCTACATTCGTTTACTTACTTAAGAAGAACCAATATCCTCATTTGCAAACAAATTTGGTTTTGCGAGAGACTCACCTGAAACCCAGCTGAATCTCTCGTTGGTGATATTGCAAATGAGTGTATTTCGCTAATTTCGTGCAATTTGGTTTCAAGTAGAACATAAGGCTGACGGAAACTCGGGGAATTCGCATTCAAGTAGAACATAAGGCTGCCGGAAACTTGGGGAATTCGCATACCAAAGTAGCCCCAAGAAGAGTGAAACCGGTCGTCGGCTGTCGAAGACTTTTCAGCAACCTTATGAGTAGTGCCTTACGAAGAACCAATGCCGTTTAAGAGGATTACACTTTTTCGCTTAAAATATTTGTGTCCAAAGACGGTAAATTTCCAATCGAGGAATATAAGTTACTGATGGGGAGTTCACCAGGAGCATAACTCTGTCTAATGTCTCTCGTGAGACCAAATGGCGCCAGTCAGTTCCCAACTCATAAGGATCTTATCAAACACAGTTTTGACCCTGTGAGGTGATGGTTAATCTTACTCGGGTGTCATACTCATTCCTTTGCACTGGTTCCCTTATTTGCAATTTAGGGCACGCTCTCCTAACTTGTGCACGGCACGTTTTATCGCACCATGTGACTGGTTTGCTTTAGCTGCCTTGCTAGCGTGAGGAGAATAGTTTGTCCCTTTGTTAGACATCTCTAAAGTATAGCGGTGTAAAATGCTGGGTGAATTGCCCTGCAAAACCCCTATTTCTTACAAAGGGGCAAAAAATAAGGCGGGTTTTCATTTGTCCAACCCCGAACAGGGTCGACGGGTCGGTTCAGTGGTCAGAGTGCGGATTTACTGACTGGATGTTTCGTTTTTCGAACCCGACTCCTGCCTCTCGACTTCCCGTGTCTAGGCTTGGGCAACTTTGCAGTATCCTTAGGCACCGAAAAGGTGCTACAGCTAAACGAACAGGGCCCGCATTTCGAGAAGCGTTTGGTTATGGAACCAGTTAACTTTGTCGGATGCCATTGGTTCTTCTCTTAGTTGCCTCCGCGTCTGACTGATTTACTTTGATGTTACGTTACAGGATCCATCAGAGCATGATTTTTGTGTTCAGCTCCATGACCCAACTGCGTTTCGAAATACGGATCTATGCATAGAAGAGTAGATTAGGTGACACAATAGATCAAACTTGATAGTCCTCAGATCGTCTTAATCGTGGTTCCCGGTCTATATCTTGTGCACTTGTATTGGAAATTTTGGCGTTTTGTAGGATTTTTAAGTGCTACTTGTTCCAGACTATGGTGGTGTCGTGATACTGGGAACTTCTGTGGAGACGTAACTTCTGCACTCGAAAGTACAATTACACCCGTAGCACAGTTTAATATTGGTTACCCTTTTTGGGGTTTGTAAAAATTCATCTCCAAATTCTCAATGCAGGTCTTCTACTTCGTTCAAATACAAGTCCGTCCTCCGTAAAAACCCTTTGTCCCTAATATGCGGTTGGTCATCTACGCGTATTGTGTAGTGTATGGCCACAACTCCTCTCCTAACCACACTGATTGTATTACACCAGGTAAACGTCATACAAACTATACCCCAAATATTTCGTACGGTATACGGTTGATGATACTTTAATCAATTTTTTCACACTTGACCGCAATAAATTCTCTGGAGTCCAAAAATTTCTGAGTATCCTCTCGCTTGTCTTGATCTCGGGATGGCTAAGTGGTTAAAACGTGAGCTCACTGACCGATTTGAACCTAACTTCTGTTCCTGTCCAGACTTGGGCAGCCTGGTAGTATCTCAGCCCTCCTGTTTCCGTCGGGTGGCACCCAAGCTAGACGCCGAACGATCGCTAAAGCTGAACGGTCTCATTTTTCATCTTATCCTTATCGTCCGGCCGAGGATCACCGTCCAAGTCTGATATCACCGACAGATTTCATGTTCATGAGTCAGCTTTGTTGGCTGTCTGATCACACTGCTCTTTTCTCGCAAGAGAAACTTTTCCAAAAAAGCTTTTGTACTGAAAAGCCTATAACAGTGGTCCCCATCAGCTATAATCCAGTGTACGAATACCCCGAGGAAAAAGCGAATCCGTATTGGTTTACTTCTGAAGGAATACTAGGATATATCTGAAATATCGTGTACCTCGAGCTGCACGATGTACGTCTCTACGGTGTAATGCATTGGTCCGCATCTGTAGCATATTATTTTCTACCAGATTCGAAATCATGAATTGCAGAGCACTTCGAGGAAAATGTGAAATGAAGTGACAAATAACTATGCGGTGAATCTTTTTGCTGTGAACAACGCCATGTTTTATTACCTTGAGCACTAATTAAGATGTGGTTTAAGCTCACTTTCACTCTCAACATTTTGTAGTACTAATTTACCTGTAGGCCTTCAATTTATCTGGCTATACTTGTTCAGCGCAGGAGCGAATATTCACTACCGGAGATTGAGAAGGGGGAAATTCTGGCCTGTATAGCTTAGAAAACTCCCACCGTTCTGGGAATGTCATGCTGTAGTGCTGGTGTCCAATAGACCATTTTACGGAATGAGTGACGGGCAGGGTGGGTCGATTCTTTATACCTAGTTCATTTTAACAGGTATTCTCTATCTATGATTGAATACATAGTATAGTGCTCGAAAGCTTGGGATTGTTGAGAGATCAAGATGCCAAGCTACTGATCGGAAGGTCCGTGTTTCGAGCCCAACCCTGACTCTTCGACTGCTTTTGCATGGGCTTGGGTAACCTGTCAGTATCTCAGCCCTTGTGTTTTATTCAAGTTACGTGATAGATCTGCACTAAAAGGGTGCCATAGCTGAACGATTATTATCCGCTACTTTTTTCATTTGCTATTGTGCTAGAGACAACAGCTACCATGCCTGCCTGCCATTGGAATATCGGCAGAGCTTTATTAATTACCTTGCCTTAGTTGGTCAAGGATGCCTACTGCAACGTGCTTCGCCCTCCAAACCTTGCTCGATGACTCACTTTAATATGACTAATGTGGAGCTTGATTTTCAACACAACTCCTCATTTATAAATGACTCAGCATGACTGGTAGGCACCGACCTAATGGTACCTTGCGCACGTGGAATATGGTTTCTTCCTATTGTTTCGTGCTTAGTTTCTACTAAATATTCTGGTCGTGTTCAGACAAGTGTTGCAATGAATATCTGGCTCGTCAGTCTTGATGCAATTATACGGGTAGTCTATCGTTTCTCGAAGCGGTACACCAAGGTGAACGAGGTGACATCAAGTGAAAATTGCGCAATTTACTATTAACAGCGTATCTCTCTTACCCTGTATTCCCAACGAATTCTACTAGTTACTGCATTCCTATAAGCCATTTCGCAGATTGATTGAGAACCACAATAGAACACTTGCTTGCTACTTCTTTATTTTAATGCGATCTCCGATTCTGCTTGTGATCTGTGCCTAGTTGCCATGCTACCAGACGGAAGCACTAGGGCTGAGCTATTGCAAGGTTACCCAAGCCTAGAGATGAACTACTAAATTACCGAGGTTGGATTCGAACCGTGGACCTTCTGGTCAATAAATTGCACCTTAAACACTGAACTATCACTTCCGTATGACAACAACTGGTCTCAGCTTTTTTTACCATCCAAACGATCCACGTGTGAAAGCCTTCTACATTCTATGGCCTTGGTGTTTGCACGAGTGCATAGTAGTCATTGCTATCCTCACTGCATCTGAGGCTTGGTCTTACCGTGTATCTATGGTTTTGCTTAACTACCTTCAAACACTTTATATGTGTTGACTGTATCATGGCACAGAGGTAGTCACCTGGAATCGTGCCACCGAACTGTGCATCAAATACCTTTGTATTTCTGCATCCGGAGAGCTTACATACTTCGTGAGGGCCTACCGGTGTGCATACTTTGTCTCATTGTTTTATCAGTGGGTTTCATTTATTGGTCCCCAATAGCGTCATGTGGTTCAACTTTCCGGAGCATACAACGAAGGAATTCTAGTTCGTGGTCCTTATTAGGTCATATCAGGTTTTAGTGGATGTTTCACGAGTTTATCAACAATACAGCGCGAATACCGAGTAGTTGACTTAGTCAATTTCCCCGCTGCACAACAGCCAACATAGGCCTAGTTGTTGTTTAGATCGTACAGCGCTTTGGCCTTGTGAAATTTTACGATGAGGCCAGTTGATAGATATTGATCAGCAAAGTGCTCTCCCAAGCGTCATTTTGAAGAGCAGCACCACAAAATGTTTAGACCCGGTTGTTTGATAGTTTGCAAGGACATCGTTGAAGTTGTACTGTAATTTGAATGGCGTAAATGTGAAAGCATAATGTTTTAATTATAGGTTCACAGATCGGGGTAAAAGCCCGGGCTAGCAACTCAGTACATGTAGCGCCCGTTCCGCGTGGACCAGGTTTGTAAAAAAGGATGCTCTAAGTCGTCCTGTCTTGTTTTCCTAGTGCAGAAGAGCTATTGATTCCAATTTTCTTTGACGGTCGCCTCTGAATATGTGCATGGTGAACTACTTCGTATTCGTCCAGAGGGTGGCTGCTTCAACGATACCGTGGCAAGTCCTTCCAACCACCGTAAACTGTAACTCCATCATTAGCAAGTGGAAGGTATGAAGATTCGAACAACCCTGAATAGAAAGCCGAGTACACGTAACGCAGAATAAAGGACATTAGCTGGCGCAGGAATCCAACTCGCGTATTCTCACTTACTGGACGAGTGTCCTGTCAAGTGACAGCGCAGAGTTCACATTTCCACGTCACCATCTCCTCCACATTCCGTTTTTTGGCTGTATCGACGATACCAATGCTTGTTCAACGCTGTAATCCACATAAGGGACTTACTAGTGGTGTGGAATGTCTTTGGCAATTTGTCCATCAGACGGAAGTGGGACTAATACTACCATTTAATGCAACTGCATCGGTTCAGAATCTGTATATTTTCTTAGTGCGTCGTTTCCGATCACATTTTTTGAAATGCACGAGTGGCACGATTTCCACATTAGCCGAATGTTGCTTATAATATTTGTGAGTTGGATCATGACCGTTCATTCTCGTTTCAGGCCTCCAACGCGGACCATGTCTCCTCGCCAGCTCCTGTACATGATTCCTCTTTACGCAAGCGCGTTATGCACCAAGTGGAATTCTATCTGAGTGAAGGAAATTTGGCACATGACCGCTTCTTCGCTGAGCAAATGAAGAATCGCCCCGATAATGGTATACCCATCGCCATGCTTCTGCAGTGTAACCGACTTCAAGCCCTAAAGATCAACGAAGAACTTTTGCTTCGTTCAATAAGAAAGTCTAGTTTGGTGAAGGTGTCAGAAGATGGTGGGTTTTCTACAAATGCTCTCATTTTCACAAGAATTTGCTTTTGACAGTGGAATCGACTGAATCTAGCTGAATCTCCCCTTTATGATGGGCTGTCGAAAAGCTTTCAGCAACCGTATGGGTAGTATGTTACACTAAGACAATAGTGTTTCTTTTCTTGTTTCCTTTTCGAGCGTATTCCAATTTCATCCCCTATAGAAACGTAATATTCATGTCCCTTACTTGTTATCCACAGTTCGGCATCACATGTTTGCCAATTCTTGAATGCTTCCGTTAGCGGACAGTAGTATGATCGCACAGGTCGTATGATGCTGCTTGGCTTGCTACACCGTCCACCATGGTGTATCAGACCGCACGGTTGCTTGAGGCAACTAGTGAATGGAGATCGAGAGGTTTTCACGACCGTGTTTATGTAAAAAGTCATGGACTATCCACAGGTCACTTTTGAGTTTTAATGACGAAGCGGCTCCTGTCTAGTTAGGAACTTCAGTCCGATTCAGTGCTCATTCACAGCCAGGAATAAGACGATCTGGACGCTCTTTATGGTCCGTAGTCGACTCATCACGAACTGGTCCGATTAGAATGATGTTGTTCATTTAACTGCTTCCAAGATTTGACTCGTGAATTCTCGACCAACTGCTATCGTCTATCGTTCTATCCCCGGGTCACTGAGGCCTTGGATTTGCCCTCGGCCCTAGGAGGTATGCCAATCCCTTGAGTCAACTAAAAACTCTGTTCGATTTAGTCGCAGGGCCACAGTTCACTGTCTGAATTCGGCCTGCACAGTGCACCCAAGGTTGATATCCGAGTTAGGTTTTATGCGGTACTTTGCCACACCTGCTTAGTGACAGTCGGTATTCATTTGCGTTGAGTGCGGTTATGCACATAGATGGATGTCCTCACCGTTTTTACCATGAATATGGACGTGATCTGTACCGAGGAATTGGATGGTTGAAAAACGCTAGCGTTCTGTGATGAATCCGGTGATGAGAAGTCCTGCATGCTATGGTGCTCGGACACTGGTTGAGGATTACCATGAATATGGACGTGATCTGTACCGACGAATTGGATGGTTGTAAAGCGTTAGTGTTCTGTGGTGAATCCGGTGATGAGAAGTCCTGCATACTATGCTGCTCGGACACTGGTTGAGGAGAGTCTGTATTTCACTTTTGTGCACTGCTCAAGTCTCTTAGCAAGCACAGATTCGTAGACTTGTAAAAGCCTGTTGACAGAAGTGAGGAAAACGTGAGTTCATACGAGGTGGTCCATGGCTGATGTGCATGTGAAGCTGCAGGTGGCATCAGTGAACTCTTCGAACACCTGCAGTTTCTTGATCCAATCCAGCTCCATGACTTCAGGCTAGGGATGTGAATTCAAGTAAATTGTGTCTTGAACCGTCTAGCCGTTGAAACATGCTGAACAACCGAGATCGCCTGTTAGCTTATCGCCCTGTTCGATCGGTTTTTAACACAGGAATTAACGGTCCGCTTCCACATTTGTTCACTGAGTAGTTTGTTCTGCTTCCCACTGACGTCCTTATTCGGATATTTCCTTTTGACGGTGGAGTTGACTGAGTAAACACAACTGCTGGAATTGGAAGACAGCTGACTGATCATGACCATGTCTCGCTTTGAGTTGATGCATGGTGGTGAGGTTCTGCAGCGTCATCTGTATTGTTGGATTATGTTCAGCAGTCAGGTTTTTGTCGTTTGCATCTTGGAATGACTAGAGACGTTCGGACCGATCCTCCGTCGTTTAACTAAAGCCTGAATTATCCGCTTTCCTGATTGACTGGAAGTCAGAGTAAAGCAGTGAATAATGCTCCCCCCATACCAGTTCAGCAGCGGGCCCAACCACCTGATATCACTCAAAGCACTTTCCATTTAAAAAGAACTGAGCTGGCCAGTGGTTCATCGAATTACATTAAGGGTCATGAACAAAGTAAGGAGGACTTTTTGTTTTGTTGGTTTTTCTGGTTAACTCATCAGAAATCCATGCGATACTAATAGGATTTGGCGTGCATGATCGTATGGATTCACCTCACTTATGTAAAATTAGGAGAGGTTACGTGGATGCTCATGCTACTTTGGGCCGACCGGCGGCTTTCTATCTGCAACGTTTATCGCAGGTGTTTTTCAGCAAGACTGCACCACAACCGCCTTTCCAGCCATCCTTATCCTGTGGTCATACTGTTGCTCCAAAGCTTTGGTTGAGTACCTCAATCTAGATTACGTTGGTGGTGGACAATCATGCGACTGCTTTGTTCTATCTGTATTGCCAGAGGGACACAGATCAAGTTTACGAGCTAAGTATTCGGCATCTTTACGAGAGTATGTGAGTCCATCACGAGGGCTTAAGGCTTACGGGTTGCGAGATCAAAAGCATCAACTTACCGCTTAAAAAAGATACAATGATAGAAATGCCCCTTGGTTACAAAGAGCTTAACATAATGGTGTGAGTACGATGCCTATCCGCTTTCTTAAATCTTAGGTTATGAGTCTGTTTGGTCCGAAAGGAAGATGACAGGTTTACGAGGATGCCCGAACGTAAAAAAATCTTTGATGTTGGATTAAACAGGACACTTGTGATTCTTCTTTGGGTGATGATCGTAAACATGTTGATAGGATGAGTGTACAGTAATAAGTGGATTATGCAGTCACTGGAGCTTACTGTGTCCACTGTGGTACAATGTATTTGACGTTAATTGGATCCTGCTGANCTGAAACCCGGTGAAACTAGAATGAAGATACTCAGATGAACTCCACCGGGTTTGGACAAGAAGGATTCATTCATTCGTCTCATCAGTATCCAAGAAACAAGGATAAAATAAGCCTGTGGGTCTAATTTCGCCTGAAGTAGAACCTATAGAAGGTTCATAATTGTCTTCGCTATTTACATGGTCCCTGTTTTTAATTAATTTTAGTATGTTTACCCATTGTTTCATCAAACCCTCTTTGTCCTGGTAACTCCTTTGGCTTTTTTTATAGTCTTGCACAATACTCAGGCTTTTTAGAAGTCTTTTAAAGGCACACAAAGGTATAAACTCGTTTCAACAGCTGAGCTATTCGTCTGAACACGTTTATTGGGTGGGGCATTTTGTAATGAAACGATAAACCATTGTCAATGAGAAGCATTGGCACCACTGAGTCACTGCGTGACAGATCGATATACCCATGTTTCTTCATGTTTCGGTTTCGGCTCTTCACTTCTGCGCATTCATTGTGCATGTTGAGGTGTTGCATGTGTGTGTGTGTGTGTGTGTTGCACATGACAATTCACGGAACTGACGATCTTGTCAACGTGTGTAAGCTAAACCATTTTATTTGAATCATGCTGACGCTGATCTTAAGTTGAGTTATTGACTTCATAAAAGGCAACCTTTAGAACGACTGTCTTCCTCCTAATCTAGACTTTTAGGTCTGTCATGTAATGAGCCTCCTAGATGCAGCATAAAGTGCGTGCAACGGCTACCAGACTAGGCAGGCTACTATTTTTCGCAAAGATCGTATATCTGTAAAGAAACTTATGGCGAATTCACTTGAGACCAATGCGGTTGGGTGATCAGGTTGCTCACGGTGGCGTTTGCTTACATCTGGTCAACCTTGTTGGTGAAACGATTATGATTGCGGAAATTAACTTAAGTTTCTCGTGTTAGATTTCTCACCGACCAAAAGCTTTCACCGTGACTTGGTGTTCAGGCTTGAATGCTGCGGTACTCTTGCGGGCTACATTGGCTGCAACTTCGTTCCACAAGGTGCAACCATGCCAGTAAGACCAATGCGTAGCATCACTTGCCCGCACATTTCTTTTTCAACCGGTGTTCGTCCCCAACCCCTTCCCACCCTACAGGCGGACGTTGCTGGGTCACTTGACTTTCACTTATCTGACCGATGCGCCTCACGCTCCCCGTTGCTTATTAACAACGAATAAAATAACACCGTGCTAAACTCACGAGATCCTTTTACATAGGCGCTTTTAAAGTCCAGTTGGCGAACGGTCAATGCCCACTGAAACCTGATACTCCCTTAAAATTGATGTATGCTGTGTCTCCGAAACACGCGTACAAGACCCAAGAGGCTCAGGATGAACTCAGTTTTCACATAGCACCATCCGTGTGTGTGCTGATTCAAACGATGACTCGTGGGATACGTGGCGTGAGGATCGCACTCAACCCAAGAGCTGAATACGTTTTGCTGGACTGGATCCCAGTGAACAGTCGTCTTTGCGCCGTCCGGTTATCCAGCTCAATCAAGTTCACTGCCTCGATATAAAAAACGGTGCTTGTTTGTATTGTCAGCTTATGCTTCAAGGGACTGCAGTTCTGATGCTGAGAGGTTATCCGGCCTGTTCCTCGGGCAACAAGCGCTGCCCAATTCGGTCGTCTAAGCTCCTTGGAACAACATTTGTGCGGTCGATTCGGAGTCGATGCTCGTCATACAAACGACACAGAGCGACTCCTCCAGTTTTGTCTTGTTCATCAACTGTTTCTGGTCAGTACGAACTTGTAGCATAAACGTTAGCATCGCGCAACCTGGCGGCTACCAGTTGCAAATCAACCGTGCACCCATTTAGATCACGTGACCATCTTCCGTCTTCTACAATTTAAGACTGTCGTTCCTTTTGGGGTACATAATTTGATTCCGATCACACCATTTTGCATGCACGCCTAATAGTTCGTTTCCCCTCAGGCCCTCGTAAGTCAGCGAGAAGCATGCCAGTCCACCATCTTCGAAGAACTACTATAGCTCAACAGTATCGATCTGAGCTAGCCCAAAAACTCTCTGCAGTAAACCAGTACTGAGCTGACAGCTAGCACGTGGACTAAGCATGGCAGAATATTAAAGGTGTGCTAGCGGCGTTCGGTGCTGTCTGTCTAACTTCTCCGATACGATGATTGACCACTGGATATCGTTAATTTCGCTAGTCCTGGAAATCCAAACCAGCAAGTAACGAGAATGACGTCACACGCATATCTCTCAAACGCTAATCAATGAAGAGCCTAAGGAGGGGGGAGAGCTTGGAACAACATTTGTGCGGTCGATTCGGAGTTGATGCTCGTCATACAAACAACACAGATCGACTCCTCCGGCTACCGGGAGTAGCCGTGCCCTTTTGTTAGGCGAAATTCCGCACCGGTACAGTTTTACCGCTCGCAGTTTGTTGCTGTTGTGGTCAAGAAGCTTATCCTGTACGCGAATAGTCAGAAGATTGGATCGCTTGCTGGTCCAGCATCATGGCAAGCTCTGTTTGTCCGGAAGTCTGGACCCAACAGCCAATCATTATCTAGTACCCACCGAATGCCGGTTGCCAATGGTGCATCCTGAAGGCGTCAGAATTTCCAAAATGTCGCCGCACATAGTTTATATATGAGGCGCTGTACATCTGTTTTTGCCTGGTTTTGGGCGTTATGAACCTTTGGGAACGCTAGCTTGTAAAGTTCACAGAGTGAAAAGTGTCTGCAGAATGGAACATATCAACAGTTATTACTGTCTTCAAAAAGCATATGTGGATGCTATGTGATAACCACCGTAGTAGCAGACTGGTAGTTGTGGCATGGAGGATTGTCTCTGGTCTTATCCTACAAAGGTTGACTGAACAGATCGCGAGAGCCAAGCTGAGATCCGTCCTGCAAGAGGATGCATCGATCAGACAAGTCTGACAGACTCCGGAGCAGCGACACTACACCAGCAACCAAAAATAGTGGCCTTCCTTGAAAACTTTGACCGTGGACCGTCGGGCACCATGGTAGTGTCAATGGAGCAAAGATGTCCTCCATAAATTCCTGACCCCCTCACCCGAGTCCACTACGTCAAATGGTGTCAGGCAAGGCTGTATTCTTTCATCTTTCCTCTTCAACTTCGTCACTGATATGACAAGGAAGGCTCAGAGGCACCGGCCTATGATGCCTGTTTTGTCTGAAGTCTCACAGGGTTTTTGCTCACAGATACCTGGAGAAGACGTCGCTTTTCTTGGATCTCATTCCGTTGTAACGCAAGCAATATTAAATAATCTAAGTAATTCTGACTCACGTTTTGGCATACGACTCACACCTGCAAAATGTAGCGTCCTGCTGCAAGACGGGGTGAATCCGATTGCGGTATTGACAAATTTGTCTACCTGGAAAGTTGTATCGGTCCCGAACTGGGAAGGCCGGAGCATCTCTTGTGAACTTGCATCACCTATGGCGTAGGCGCGACATCACTCGACCACATCAGTGGTCGAATTTACACTGCTGCGGTGCGCTCCCCATTATTATACGGGTCAGAAACCCAACCGCTGTATGCCGAGAACGTCAAAAGACTCTCAGTGTTTGACCATCACTGTCTTCGGTGCATTGCGCTAGTCTGGTGGGAACACCGGATTAGCAATGCTGAAGTACGTCAAATGGTTTTCGGAAGAGGTAACTTTTCCAGGATACACTGATCACCCTCTGTAGGTTGCGTTGGTTTGGTCCCGTGCTCCGTATGCCAGTTGACCGAATTCCCCGAAGAGCCCTTTTCACTCAATCATGTGAAGGGTGGAAGCGAGCCAGAGGTGACCAAGTAATGAATTGGCAGCCAGGTATGTAAGCCATTATCAACAAGCTCAAATGAATTGGTCGTTGCCGTCTCCCTGGATGGGGACCTCTAGATGGGACACATCAATAGTTCGAGACATTGTCGAACATGGCCCGGTCGTGCCCTCACTGGCGCTCATGCATCCAAACTGTTGCTTCAATGCATAGCTCCCGTCGCAATCTCTCCAATGAAAAGTTTAGTGAGGCTCGTCTATCTACCTCACCTTACCATATCATCGACGAACGTAAGTGGCAGCTAGAACCACTGTACTGCACGTACTCGGTTCTTACAATTAGTGATGGTGCTGACTTGATATTAGTCGGCAAGTCGATCGTTTCAGGCAGATTTCGGCTATACTGAACACATCCGAATGTGGTACGTTCATTATTGGAACAAGTCGTTTGCAGTGCTTTGCTTGCCTAGTTTCTCTGGTCGATGAATTTTCGACGACTGGCCGCACACATTAGTGTCGTTCTGTCTGATGCCCTATTCATAACAGTATACTCATTTTTGGCGTTAGTTTGATGGTTTTAAATTGTCCAGAACATAACTGTTGTCCCCACAAGGCAGTAAATCCGGTAACAGAAGATAGAAGTTAAACAGCAACGTGAATAATCAATGGCCCGGAAGGATCCCGCTTAATTTTGACACATGTGATGAGATGCGCTCGAATGCCCGCAAGCGGTCGGAAATTTCTCCATGTACCATGGGTTTTCAATTTTTACATCGCTTTTACAAACTTCCTGGAATCACTTTGATTGTTACCTAAATTGGCCAAGCAGTGAACATCACCACTGCTCGAGGATTGCTATCACAGTTTATCAGATGAATTGGCACACATGGGTCTCAACATTGTCATGTCCTGTTGAAAATTCGGTATGTTTCGTGGTGTCTCAGATCCATTTTAGCTCGACGAGAAGAACGTCACTGTTTCTGTCTCAGTTCGTACTTTGTCCTTACATTCACCATCACCGTCGCCGTCATAAGAAATCGATCGAAGTCAACGTTGTGTTAGACCACATGATTACTTTACACAAATCGACATTTGCACGCCTCTAATGTTTTGGGAATGGAGTATGTACTGTCACTTGTTTTTTGGAAATTAGGGTCGCATATTGAATTCCTTTCCTTCCTTTCTTTTTGTGAACAGTTGCGTTGACAAGTATATTTTATCATTCAATGCGTTCTATGTGATAAGTTGCAATTATGGGGATAGGCGTTTCATGTATTTGGTAAAAGTGGCCGCGTCAGTCATTTTTCATTTACTTCCTTGCTTATTGTGATGGACCCTGCCGTCATTCACAGTTGTCAACCGAAAATTCGTCTTATAGGTGAAGCCAGTCTATCATGAAAAGCTGAGAAGCACTGTACGGCTGTTTCATCCTTATTGGGAATCATCAGCACTACACATCTTGCGAAACTCCAGGGAGTTGCAAACCTGCGAACTCCCTCCCAGTAGTTGGAACATCCAATCGTTCGGCTTCTAGTGGCTGATCAGCATTGTGATTAACCCGCATTTATCTACGTTGTCCGCGTTCCTGTTTTTCTGTCAATATCCAAACAGCAAACAGTGCGCCACACCCTGGAGACTGAGAGTGCCCGAAGAAACATGGGCATCTTAGATTGCAGACCACTTTCCACCTACCACCACCTTATGTTTTCGTCGATTATCCAATTTGGTGGCTCCCCTAATCACGAGCTCTCCCTGACTGCCTGAAACCTGAGTTGGTCACATCGTTGGTGGCTCGTGTTCCGATACTACAGTTGGATGACTGTACGAAGAGAATAGCTGGGATGAACAAGTTGAGTATTTGAAGGAAGCACTGTTTAAAACGACTCGACAAAAGCGAACATACAAAATGGTAAAATTTGTTGCTTTGGTTAGCTTACCGTTCGGCCAGTTTGGTTGTCACAATATCCGAAACCATAAAATCCGAGACTAAAAAATGGACACATTTTTCGTAACCGAAACCATTCTGCAACGACAGTTGGTTGGTGACAAATACCTAACTGACCTAACTTACTGTAGCGGATTGATATGCAAATTCCCAGTCGAATAATTCAATCCTATCTCAGAACATAAACGACTCGATTTATTCCCTGCCCAAATGTACCAATTTTACAAGTTAGAAAGTTGCCTCCCTGTCCCGCTGCATGCATTGATGTGAACTCGTGGACTGACCATGCTGATCTCAGGCCACATATGAAGCTGACTTTCACCAAAGTACTAGCAATGTATATCCTCCTTCTTTGTCATTCTAGACTGAACCTGAGCGCAAAGACCAGATGCAAAACAGAAATCAGAGCAACCGGACATGGTGCTTGTTTGCTGTTCACTGTTCACATTTTTGGAAATGAATGCAAACAATGGCCAAACCATCGCATCTGTAACATCATAGTCCATATTGCCCTCTGCTCTTCACCGAGTACTTCCTACCCTAGTTCAGATTAATTGGACTGAAGGTAGACTGAATACCAAGTGACCCGTTCAAGCTCTTGTTATCATTGATGCACGCTAAGGCAGAATCCATCCATATCACTTTTTCCAACCGTAGATCGGTTCGTTATATCGTGATAGTTGTCCGTAGTTTTATACGTAGCTGGCTTCACTCTTCAGTACACTAAAACTATTTTGTTCTTTAGCTTTGCTGGAATCAGCCTTATCCCATGTGGTTCATAAATTTTATGCCCTATTCTTTCGTTCAGTCAGCAAACGATAGTGCAATATTTTTTTTCAGACTTTCAAAAATATCCCCAAATCATCATGTTTAAATAAGTTGAAGAGCAATACACCTGCTTTATCCACTTTACTTCTTCCGAGGGATCTAAAAAAACTTGGACTGAGATTCTGTTAGCATTCTATTCATCGGCGTGGTTCTATATAGTTAGGGAGAACTTCCACCTTTGAAATGTTGAACGTTAATACCACAAAATCCCAAAGAGCAGCATTCATTCAACAGTCACGATTCATGCCAGTGCTTCTATTGAACAGCAGGTTGACCACCAAGGAGTATCATTCAGAACTCCGATAGATCATACGGTTTACATTTTCCCATCATTGAGGAAGAGAAGTTCCTTTCAAGAGGACACTGATACCTAGCCTTGAACTTATCCATTTGCTTCGTGAACGCATGGTGAACGTTTCAGTGGAATAGCTAGTCAAACTGCTGAGGGTTTTGCATGTCTTGTCTCCGAAGAGAGGGGAAATCCAGTGTGTCAATGGTTTCCGTACTCTTCTCCTACTGCATACTTCGTTTTGACATCCATGGATGAATCGCATGTTTAGATTCGCCTCCCTCCCGAATTTTTCATCTATGTCCTCCGTTAAATGTCCAACTCAGGATTGGCTGTGGTGCGTACGCGTCCTCTTGCGGAACTCGCTCCTCGTGAAAAGCGCACGATTCTAGTCGTCGGTATTCCTCGTTGGTTCAACGATCCGAATACAGTGGACCAGTCTCTACAGGAACAAGCGGTTGACGGTCCTGACCCCACTGTGAACACCGCTTCCTTCTCCACGCCACACACTGATCGTGGATATGAGATGATGGACTGGCTACGTGATATTTTCTCGGAATATGGCGAAGTGTTGTACATCAGTCTACCTCAGTATGTTCCTTGTGTGGCATTCATGTTTGATCACGCCGTTATGGTTGATTCCGGTATCATACAACACCAGATGCATGATAGTTGACCGAAATGTTCTCGACCAACAGCCCTCATGGATCATGGATCCTCATGGATCACATACTACTTATTCAGTATTTATGTATGGTTGCTGGACTGCCCACTGCGCTTGGTAGTTGGATTGCAACCGTTTCGTCCCCAACCGAGGAGACGTCACCGGTTCACTCATGTTTGTAATCCAACTACCAAGCTCAGCAATCAAACAACATCCATGAACTACTCATATCCCGCAGTATCGCCGGTATTTATTTATGTTTTAATTATTGTTTCATTTGTTCACTCCATTTATGTGTATTTCTTTGGTTTATCAACTCACATCTTGATAGGACTGGCTTGAATTTTCTGGCTTCCGTTTGCAAGACAATAACTTATAAATGTCATTCTACTTCCTTGTCTAGTTCATGTGGTGCCTCGTACAAGTATCACGACTTTGGCCACGTCAAAGTGTTGATTTTGGAAATTGTGGATGAGAACGATATATTATAAGACTCACTGTACTGGTTAGGTGCCATACGAGGATCGCCAGCTCTCTGCCACCGCAACGATGGCGCTATCCCGATCTAGTGATGCACGGGTCACGCGGGCTACAATGCCTTAGGCACGCTCCGGGTTGATTGTGATCGCCAGGCCTAAGGTGACCAATGAAACCTCGCACATCCCCCCGTCGCGAATTGTCCAACACGATATAACCTGAACAATCGAAGTTTTGTTACAATGGACAGTTCTGCCGGCTAAATCGCCGGATGGGTGGCAACTTCCTATGCTGCTGGGTTCGATTGCTGTTGGTGCCCACATGTTTGTTCACACCACAATCCCCAGGTTCACAGCCCTATATCCAGTCCCAGCCGCACACACCAGTCATTATGACGTTACGGTGGTATCAGTATCCAGGTCATCAGGTATAGACTGGTTTAGTGGGCTAGGCGATAATGGGCCCTAGACTGACAATACGACAAACCCTGTTGTGACGGGTGGATTAGAAAAACGTTAGTGCTGGATGTGCTATCGTGATTCAGTTAGAGTTTTCACGTCTCATATTTCTCTTACTCTGGGGATGTCGGTACCTCTAAACTTTTCTTTTTGTGAACAGGATTTTCCACTAAAATGCTTCGGGTTGCAACGTTCCCCTTGATCAGAGTTTCCTACTCCTCCGATTCCAAACATCTCTTCTTCGTATTCAATATTTCGCTTGTACTGTAAGCAAACGCTCGGGCTTATCATCCTTGCAACTTTTAAAACAATCTATCCATAGTTTAAGCAGAAATAAAGCAAAGGATCAAAGCTAGTCATCTAGCTAGTTACATCTAGTTCTTTACTCCGAGGCTAAATGATGGTATGATTCAGAGTTTCTACAAATTCAGGTCATAGTGTTTACTCCACAACAACGTTTAGAGTCTTGCTAGCGTTCAGTACTTCAATGACGTTAAAATGGTCAACGTCGAGCTTATGCGCTCAAAAGACTGGCACAAGTCATCATCTTATCTTGGGGTCAGGAACCAGAATGGTTAGCTCCGAATTCGATCGTCTACCCTCCAACGTTTCTATCGTTTATGTCGTGAACCGATCGTTTTGTGGCGTTTACGCTGAAGAAATGAAGTCATATTTTCAGCACCTTCCCGTTTTATTCAAGTTCCCCATCGTAGATCTCAAGATCCATATCGGCATCTTCCCGTTTTATTCAAATTCTCCATCGTAGATCTCAAGATCCATATCGGCATTTGGGCTTATCACCAATCCTGATAATATGCGGCTGTACCTTATCCTTTGGAGTCACATTTGGCTTTCTATGCAAACAAATCGGAAGCGTTGACATTAGGCTTTGTCCCTAATTCGTTTTGGTCTGACCATCAAAATCAAACGTGCTTTCTGTCGTGACCAGCAGTTAGGCTCCCCGAGAGAACAAACTTCGTGTGATGTTGGTGTTGGTGATTTTAAAGGTGATCGGAAGTCAAGCGTTATCTGATAGTTATCCACTTCTGATCCTAAAACTTCGATTCCACCTACGTCAACACACTCGCAACACTCATTACCTTTGGTGCTACGAATATTCTTGTTCATTCCCCCTCATCATCCCTTATTTTCAAGATATCACACCTCTGGATTTTTTCGGGGCTTTGCATTTGTGGAATTCGCCACTCCAAAACAAGCTCGCTTGGCAGTTAAATCGATGGCTCCTGCGGCTGATGACGAATCCTGGTTTGTTGCCCCACTCGCTGAAGGTGAGCGAAATCCCGATTTGGCAGTACTCAATTGATTCTCGTTTTCTTTCCGCGAGCGTGAGAAAGTGCTGGCCCTTCACCTTGTTTTGGGAGATGAAAAAGATTATACATATACCCGGTGCTTTGGAGACTTAATCCCACCACTGAATATCTGCATTACAACCGCGTCGCATAGAAAGGAGATCCGAGGCACACATTGAAACTGCTACCATTTCAATCCCAATTACAAATCATAACCTCGGGTGCAATAAATTTATTTCTCTCCACTAATTCATCCACCCACAGAGACTAGGTTGGCCTTGGAATCCCACCCTTTGTGCACGTGGGCCGACCAGAAGTTCGTAGAAATACAAATTAACTTCAAACTTGCGTCGATAGGGAATATATTGGTTGGCATCGATTTCGCCGAACTTGTGAAAAAAAACCCTATTGTCGAAGTCATATGTAGGCTGAGTGAAAACGAACCTCACAGTCGCAAGTTTATCTCTACTACCGTTTGACATTTTTGTAAAAGGGTTTCCAAATCACATCACTGTCTGTTTCGTTAGCGGCTCTTCGGACTAGGGGCGAGATGGCTCGAATGGTTAGAGCGCGAATTTACTGACCGCAAGATCCGTGGTTCGAACCCGACCTCTGCCTCTAGACTTCCCTGTCTAGGCTTTGGCAACCTGGCAGTATCCAAGCCCTCATGCTTCCTTCGGGTAGCATGGTAGATAGGCACCAGAATGGTGTTACAGCTGAACGATTTGTTTTGTTTGTTTGTTTGTTTTTGTATCTTCTTCTGACTTTGTGCTAATGATTGCACATCACGTTATCGACTGACACCTCTCGAAACTTCAACTGGTGGAAGACGCTCAAACTACTTATGGCTGTTTGGGGTTTGAGAAACTTCCCTGCTTTATTGCAGCACATTCCGCGAGTCCAAGTGATTTTGTGTGACATTCAACCAGTTCATCTAACTTTAATTCGCCACTTGAAGGATGATTTTGCCTGCTACTTCTCATGGTTATCCCACATTCCTAAAACTCCTTCCGAAATAGGTTAGTTTAGTTCATTGTGTGGAATTTCGTAGTATGATGCTACTGACCGAGTAATTGTTGCTTGCTCATCATGTTTATCTTTTCAGAACTGATGACAGAGGTAGGAGGCGACACCTGGTGGATAGAATCACGGTTGATCAGGTGTCATATGATCTTACTATACTACACTTCACCCAGTTCTATGCCTTCGAAAGCTTCCTCTGTCAAATTTGTTTATGCCCAGTTACCGTGACCACTGCAAGTGATGTGATTTGAGACCTCACAAGACTGGTAGTAGAACGCGTGGCTGCCAGAGGGTCTGCTTACAATCAGCCCACGAACCTCAGTGCAGGTGAAGGTGTGGTTTGCTTATTCACCAACCCACATCACTTTGAAGCACATATTCTGACTTGCGTTTCACCCCAGTAACTTGGAAAAGCACCTGTTTTGTTTGCATGCATGTAGGGTAGTGTCCACTTGTTTTTGTTTTTCATTCTTGCTTGTTTGACTAGTAACGAGCCGTCGTTATGCATCATAACTGCAGGTACTAGAAGTTGAATTTTATCGTAACTCCAAGTGAATCCACGAAAGCCTTGAACGCTGTAACTCACGCTGGACACCTGGAGAGTTAGTCACCCATTTGCAAATGAAGATGACTTCAACGGAACATTCCAGTGAGACTCAAGTGAACCCATCGTCTATGTTGTGCTCTACTGCCCAATGAAAAAATATCGTATCTAGAAAGCCGGTCCAACTGAAACTCGTTCAGCACATTGTTTGACCGAGTCTTTCGTTCATTCTGGTGTTAAAAATGTGAACTAAAGATGACGGGCACGCATGTACAATGACCCAATACAGCATACCCGGCATTGGCTGTAGAACAGCCTTCGCCAACCTTATAGTTCGTACAGTATCAGTCGGAAATACGACGAATACCATATAAACCACTTTTGCTTCAATAAATTGAAACACCATCGTTTTATCCACAACTCCCATCCCTGTGTTTCCCAGGAAGTTGTCCACCAGACACGCCCCTGCCAGAGAATGCTTGGAAACCAAGATTGGCAGCCCGGACTGCGTTACTTCCCTCAGATATGCTTGAAAGACGTTACGTTTGGCGATGTTGTTCTCGGAAAAACAAGCAGATTCAGATAGCATTCCGACACTTGCGGTCGGCCGGTTATCGCGCACCCAATCCATGCGATCGGGAATGTACGTACCCTTCTGTATTGCCCTCCTTTTCTACGTGATTCATCATCATTGCAGTTATGCGTATTTCTATATGGTTTTTGTTAACCCATGTGATCTGCAGTTTCAACCGAATTGGAAACACCCATTTCCCAATTGAATCAATATTATTGCAGCTGCGAGGGATTTTTTATCGGGACTGCATCATGCAACAATGAACTTGGTGAAAAAATCCTATCTACTACTGTTTTTACATTCCACCGTCAGACTCCAAAATCGGATCATTATTGTGCGAAAAATGGTGTAACCAGTTTTCTGTTCTCGTGAAAGCAATGCATTTCTGTATTAGGGAGACGCTTCTTTTTGAAGTGCATAGGCGGTGAAGGTAGGTGGGTACAGACATTCCTCCGGAGATTTACCACCAGTAGGGCCATAAGAATCGTCTGCTTCCCGGAGTAATTCCCCCTTTCTGGACGTGTAGTGGACAAAAATTGAAACCACAGCATTCCGTTCGCTTCATGCCTCGGTAATTCCATAAAGCTTGCCTCAACAGATTTCAATTCCTTCAAAGAAACTTGTAACATGCCTTGACAGGCAGCTTTGAACTCTGTTGGACGACTTAAGCTCTAATTTAGCAGTTGAGTGATCTTGTTTGTTGACGCTCCCTAACAAGTGTAGACAAGGTCTATCAGGCCTGTGGACCTTTTAATGTATGTATACCAAATTTTCTGTGCATTTGTTGCGGTGAAAATTAATGAGAATCTTCGTCACTGATAGTTGAATACAGAGGCAAGGTTGATTTGCGGTATGCACACGGGACCTCGGGGGATCGGAAAGAAATAATTATCATGTGGTATCTGGCTGGTTGGTACAGAAAAGCGGTGGGTTGCATACAATGATTGGTTGGCCATATACGGCTGGGTTTTTTCCGTCACACTCTTTGTCCCACGACACCGGTTTATGATCTATGGCCATTCCAAGTCGTTTCCGTGTGCAGCCACGCTTGTGTAGCTTCGACTATCCGGACGTCTCAAGATGCCGACAAGAATGACCTCTGACCGAGGGGACTGCGCTGTAGCCAGCATATCAGCATCTTGTCGTTATACCATCAGTAATGGTTTTCACTGAGTCAGAGGCACATGATCCTTAGCTCATCCTACATATCGTGTCATAATAAGTGTCGTCATGGGACGGGATAGAGCAGAACATGTACATGAATTGCTCAACAAGATAGTTGAAAGCATCTAACTTACAACTGAAGCTGGCAAGAATAAATGAATATCGTTTCTGGATGTACTGATCAGCACAGACACAGGAAGGAAGATATCAGAAAGCCACCAGAGCAACTATTCTTTAAACCACAAGAAAGTTCCACTTCAGCTCTGTTCAAAGGTACGGAAACACTGCAGTACAACAGAACTCAGGCGAAAAAAAAACAGATTACCTATGTTTCTGAACAACGGATGCCTTAGAAATTTTATCAAAAGAATCCTAAAAAACAGGACTCCCCGACAGCAACAGAAACAGCAACATCAGTCAACTATGCGGATAGTTCTCCCGTGCATCAAGAACATGTTTGAATTCACAGCAAGGCAACTACAAAGGAATCCTAATAGCCCACGGAATAGCCGCTACCTTGATCGAACTTATCTCAGGACCGATGCGGGCTCAGAAAACAACATCGTGTACCAAATGAGTTGCATGGACTACAAGAAACATTATATACATATTGTACAGATTGGAGGAAAACTTTCTACATGGTTGAGGGAACAACTAAACAATCAAAAGACGGTTCACTATCTCTTATTTCCATACATTAAAATCAAGAAGGCACAAGTTTACGTGAAGATTGAAGTACGCGGAAGTACAAGACACGAAAGAGAATCATTAGAATCGAAGCTGACTCTGCCTACGCACCGCTACGAGCGAGGGACCGCTGACCCAATAGTAATACTGAGTCAGATCCGGTCATCATAACAACGGGCCAAGAAACGGGACTCCCTGTGGAGCAACGAAGATCGCTGCGGAGAAGGAGTAAGAGGCAAGTTATCGAGACTACCCAGATATCCATTAATCAGGAGACAGGCCAAGCGACAAACTAATGAGACTGTCCACCTGAAAGACCAATGATCACTCAGAATCGAGCCGGGTGAGCAGACCCTACATCAATCCATGCCAGCGCAACGGTTGCGCACTTCCACTCGCAGCGCAATGATGATGTCATCGCCATCGGTGATGAAACATTTGCGCACCTTGCCGTACAAACCCACCGGCACAACCTGAGGTGCCAGTATTCTCTTCGATTGGCACCACTACAACCTGAGGTGCCAGTATTCTCTTCGATTGCAATCAGGTACTAAACGGTGTGCCTTTCGTGAGGGTCGTCTGAAAATAATAACACAATTATGATCTGACTGTGTACTTCTTGTTGATGTTAGCCGGTTGCACATTCACATTATCACCTTTATATCACTGTGTTAGATACCATGAGGACCGCGTGGTCTCCACTACGCGTTGTTGGAGACGCTGCAAGGTATGGCTGCTAATCGATGTCAATGGTGTTCTTATCTGTTTCCATCCAGATCGCCTGAACGAGTGTTTGGAGGTGTCTGAGGTGTAGGCACTTTAGAGTTATTTTGGTAGACTAGCGCTAAGTCCCTTTCTTGCCTACTTTTATTCTCTTTTTCACAATAAGGCTTTCGAATAAATCATTATTGTACGGTAGCGAAGCCTCGTTGCTGAACACTGTTGTCATACTGTCGATGAAGAAAGTGGTTGATTTCTGAAGCAGTCAGCGAGGGACTTGTACTTGCAGTAACCCATTCCTCACTTGTGATCACGCTACAGTTGACGCCGTTTCGCCATTTTTTCTTCTGTTGTGTATGGCCTATTTAGCTTGACTTATCTTCTGCGGCCTTTTTCTGGATGGCTTAACCCCATCGCATCTGTGCGATGCTGCTTCGCTCAGTTTCCCATTCAACGGTTAAACACACACTACTGTCAATCTGAAGGTAGTCAAAACTTGAGATAATCTCATCGTGACCATTGACAGTCACTGCCCATGTTTTCCTCAACATTAACTCAGATCTGGGAACAAATTGATCATTAGATTGAAAAATAGTGACCTCTTCACATTTCGCCCGCTTTTTATTCCTCGCAGATGAACAGATTACCTTGGGTGCTAGCTCGCCTGAGATTCGGGCAGAGTACATCAAAGAAAGTTACGGAGAACCGCATCGGGACAAACTACGTGTAATTCGCTACGCCGTTTGGGAGTTTTGGAAATCAAAATTTTATTTATGGCTCAACGCCTGGGTAGAACGGATGAGACGAAAAACGGACGAGCTATCTATGAATCTCGAAACCGCCCAGCTGGACGTAGATGAACACAATGACCGTAGCGATGGCCAAGCCACTGATAACCAAGTTTCCCAAGTAATCCATGCAGCCAATTCACCGACGGAGAATTCACAAACCCAAGCGAACTCGCTCTCTTTGGGTCTTTGCACTTCGCTGCCGAAAAATTATGTCCCTAGCACTGTGATCCTCGTACGTCTATATCTTGTTATTTTGATTACTGTTGATAAATGTAGATGTTCAAATCCTATATTCTCTTAAAAAATATATGCTTCACCCAGATTACTCCATAATGCTCAAAATAAAATTGGCACTCGTGAGTGTTTCTCCGTCGAAGTTCAGATCAGTGAATATGCTTCACCAGATTGCTCCATAATGCTCAAAATAAAATTGGCACTCGTGAGTGTTTCTCCGTCGAAGTTCAGGCCAGTGAAGCTGTCTTCCCATATTCGTATATATATATATATATATATATATATATATATATAT